GAATGAAGCCTCAGACCAGAGGCATTCAAACAAGGCAGGAGTTTATTGCAAACAAACACAGGTTCCCGCTTAGGAGGGAAAGTCAAATGGGTTGCCCCCCCAAAGCATTCTGCTCTTCCCTTTATACTGGCTAAAGGGCCACTCTTGGTCTGTCTGGGCTGTGCCGTTCTCTGATTGATTCCTGGCCTTTTTGCAACATTTTGTTTTGTACTTGCAAGAAAAACATCCTTGTTTCAAAACACCCTGTTTTTCTGCTATCCATCCTGTTTTTCTGCCTATCCTGTTTGATGCAAAACACATTTTTTGTTGGTTTCAGCCAGCTCCACCATTCCTCCTCCACCCACCCCTTTCCCTATCTACCTAATTCAATTGCCCTTTACCTCCTTTCACTTTCATCAATAGGTGTGTCGCCATTGCTGGAATCATTTGTGACGTGATTTATGGAAAGTGGTGATTTTCTGATTCTCCATTCTCTGTTTAGCTGTGGCATGCTACTGTAAAGAGGAACTTTAGTTTTGAGCCGTTCTCTCTGTGTGTGTGTGTGTTACTGAACAGAAATAGAGTGGATCGCCACATGGAAGGCACAGCTGGAGAACCTGGGTCAGAAAGGGCAGCTAAAGGACCATAGCAACACCAGTGATGCAGGTGGCAAGAGTTAATTTAATGCTTAGTTACTACAGCCATCCTGTGAGCACTGTAGTTGGAGTCAGTTAGCTCCAACCAGTTTTCTGGCCTTGTGCTAGTCCACTCAAGATTCAGTGGCCTTGCCTGGCTGGTGAGGTTCAGTGGTTGAGCTTCCACCCATGAACCAAGAGGTTCCTGGTTCGATTCCCAGTCAGGGTACCTGCCCAGTTGCAGGCTTGATCCCCAGTTGGGGGCTTGCAGGAGGCAGTCCATCAATGTGTCTTTCTCATTGATGTTTCTCTCTCTCTCTCTCTAAAATCAATAAAAATATATTTTTTAAAATAAATAAAGATTCAGTGGCCTGCGGGAGAAGGGGTCTGATTGGCCTGGTGGAGACCCCGAGCCCAACCTTTGCTAAAGGCAGGATGGTCGTTTTGAGTGGCAGTCTCATCAAAGCTGCTCACGACAAGGGTGGAGTCAATCCCCAAAAAGCAGTAAGGATTTATTACTGGAAAAAAAGTGGCTTGGAGACTGGGTGGTCCCAAATCATCAAATACTTGTACAGTGATAGTGCATGCATTATCTTAGCTTTCTAAATGATTTTTGATTAAAAAAATAAAGGCATGAGTGACATCATCTGATATTTATCTTCCCCCGACTGGCTTATTTTGCTTACATAATGCTCTCCAGGTCCATCCATGCTGTTGCAAATGGTAGGAGTTCCTTCCTTTTTATGGCAGTGTAGTATTCCATTGTGTAGATGTACCACTGTTTTTTAATCCACTCAACTGCTGATGGGCACTTAGGCTGTTTCCAAATCTTAGCTATTGTAAATTGTGCTGCTATGAACATGGGGTGCATATATCCTTTCTGATTGGTGTTTCTAGTTTCTTGGGATATATTCCTAGAAATGGGATCACTGGATCAAATGGGAGTTCCATTTTTAGTTTTTTTGAGGAAACTCCATACTGTTCTCCACAGTGGCTGCACCAGTCTGCATTCCCACCAGCAGTGCACAAGGGTTCCTTTTTCTCCATATCCTCTCCAGCACTTGTCGTTTGTTGATTTGTTGATGATAGCCATTGTGACAGGTGTGAGATGGTACCTCATTGTTGTTTTGATTTGCATCTCTCGGATGATTAGTGACTTTGAGCATGTTTTCATATGTCTCTTGGCCTTCTGAATGTCCTCTTTTGAAAAGTGTCTATTTAGGTCCGTTGCCCGTTTTTTGATTGGGTTGTTTATCTTCCTTTTGTTAAGTTGTATGAGTTCCCTGTAAATGTTGGAGATTAAACCCTTATCAGAGATATTATTGGCTAATATGTTCTCCCATGCAGTGGGCTTTCTTGTTGTTTTGTAGATGGTTTCTTTTGCTGTGCAGCAGCTTTTTATTTTGATGTAGTCCCATCTGTTTATTTTCTCCTTAGTTTCCATTGCCCTAGGAGCTGTATTGGTGAAGATATTGCTTTGGCATATGTCTGAGATTTTGATGCCTGTGGATTCCTCTAATTTTATGGTTTCCCATCTTATGTTTAAGTCCTTTTCATTTTCAGTTTATTTTTGTGTATGGTGTAAGTTGCTGGTCTAGTTTCATTTTTGTGCATATATCCAATTTTCCCAACACCATTTATTGAAGAAACTATCTTGACTCCATTGTATGCTCTTGCCTCCTTTGTCAAATATTAATTGAGTATAGTGGTTTGGGTCGATTTCTGGGTTCTCAATTCTATTGGTCTATTTATCTGTTCTTGTCCCAGTAATGTAATGTACTTTTGAGAACAGTGGCTTTGTAATACAGCTTGATATCTGGTATTGAGATCCCACCTACTTTGTTCTTCTTTCTCAGGATTGCTGCAGCTATTCGGGCTCTTTTTTTATTCCAGAAGAATTTTTGGAGAGTTCGTTCTACATCTGTGAAATATGTCGTTGGTATTTTAATGGGGATTGCATTGAATCTATAGATTGCTGTGTGTAGTATGGACATTTTAGTGATGTTGATTCTACCAATCCATGAACACGGTATGTTCTTCCATCTGTTTATGTCTTCCTCTATCTCTTTTTTTAGTGTCCTGTAGTTTTCTGAGTACAGGTCTTTTACCTTCTTAGTTAAGTTTATTCCTTGGTATATTATTATTATTATTATTATTTTTTTGCTGCAATGGTAAATGGTATTGTTTTTTTTAATCTCTCTTTCTGTAAGTTCACTATTTGTGTATAAAATGCATAGATTTCTTGGCATTAATTTTGTATCCTGCTACATTGCCGAATTCATTTATTAAGTCTAATAATTTTTTGATGGAGTCTTTAGGGTTTTCTATGTACAGTATCATGTCATCTGCAGGTAATGACAGTTTTACATCTTTTCCAATGTGAATACCTTTTATTTCCCCTTCTTGTCTAACTGCTATGGCTAGTACTTCCACTGCTGTGTCGAACAGGAGTGGTGAGAGTGGGCATCCCTGTCTTGTTCCTGTTCTTAGGGAAAATGGTTTAAGTTTTTGCCCATTGAGTATGATGTTGGCTGTGGGTTTGTCATATATGGCTTTTATTACGTTGAGGTATGATCATTCTATTCCCACCTTGCTGAGAGTTTTTATCAAGAAAGGGTGTTGGATTTTGTCAAATGCTTTTTCTGCGTCAATTGATATGACTGTGATTTTTATCTCTCAATTTGTTTACGTGGTGTATCACGTTTATTGATTTGCGGATATTGTACCATCCTTGCATCCCTAGGATAAATGTTACTTGGTCACGGTGTATAATCTTTCTGATATAATGCTGGATCCGATTTGCTAGAATTTTGCTGAGGATTTTGGCATCTATGTTCATGAGGGATATTGACCTGTAATTCTCTTTCTTTTTAGAGCGAGTGGAAGGAGAGGAGAGACACAGAGAGACACACATTTATGTGAGACATCGATTGGTTGCCTCTGCATGCACTCCCCGACCAGGCCCGGGATCATTCCTGCATTGGAGGTGCATTCCCTTAACTAGAATCAAACCCAGGATCTTTCAGTCCTTGGGCCCATACTCTATCCACTGAACCATACCAGCTAGGGCTGTGAGCTGTTTTTAATTCTACATTTGAGACTAATATTCAAAGTTTCATTAATACTGATTACTTTTTGTCTACTTACTCACCAGATATACCTGATTGACTAAAATTTTCCATGTGGTCAGTTGAAGGAGATTAAAGTATTTTTAAACCACAAGAAAAAATATTGTTAGCTGTTACAAATTTGGCTTGATTAATAAATGTACAATTTCCTTGATAACGGAGAAAATAGTTCTTACTCTACTACTGCTCTATAGTAGCTAACACTATCCCATATTTATAATATTAATATATACTAAATGAATATTGTAACTTTATATTTGTTTAGTTTTCACAAGGGAAATCTGGCTTTCAAATATGACCTCTTAAAAGATGCAGATATTTCAAGGAAAGTTGGTCTGATCCTTCAGAGTGTAAGATTCAAAATCAAATTGAGATTACAGGGAGCCAACTCAAAATCAGGGTTGTAGAATTAATTTTGTATAATGGTCTTGGGTCATAGATAGCATTTATCGTACTATCTATACTAATAATAGAGGGATATGCAAATTGTCCAGGATGCTGTCACAGTAACGACCAGCAGGCTGCGTGGGGCAACCAAGCTGGCAGGGGGGTTAGTGAGGGACAACCAAACAACTGAACAGCAGGCTGCGTGGGGCAACCAGGCCAGCAGAGGGGGCAGTTGAGGGCGACCAGGCCGGCACGGGGGGGACAGCTGGGGGTGACCAGGCCGGCGGGGGGCGGGGGGCAGTTAGGGGCAATCAGGCCAGCAGGCAGAGGCAGTTAGGGGTGACCAGAATGACATGCAGGTGAGCAGTTAGGAGCCAACGGTCCTGGATTGTGAGAGGGATCCTGGATTGGAGAGGGTGTAGGCTGGGCTGAGGGGAACTTCACCCCTCCCCCGCGATGCACGGATTTCATGCACCAGGCCTCTATTATTACTATAATTATACACCAACTGCCCTATAACATTAATGTAAATCTAAATTAGGGAGAGGAACATGGACTTAGAATAGGATGAAACTCTTACTAGTTTTGTGACTTTTACCAAATTACTTAACACTCTGATCTTTGCTTCCTTAACTCTAAAATGGAAGTAATATTTCTACTTTTAGAATGCCACAGCTACATAATCTTTATAATACTTTCATTAGTTGCTACATTCATTCTTAAAAAGTGAGTTTCCTCCAATCTGCTATCTGTCCCCAAATAAAATTGTTTGCATTTTGCCATCTTTCTTCTCAGTGTGTAGACTTAATAGATGCACATGCTTTTAAAAGATCACTTAGTTATATTAAACCATGTTAATATTTATCTCTTGTGACAGTTCCTTGGGAGACAAATTTCTACTAAGAGGAAAAAATACATTTGTATGAATTTGTGTGTGTGTTGGTAACTTGAATTAATTGAATGTAAATTGCATTTTATATTTATAATATGAACAGTCTTGCTGGAATTTTTAAAATTGTGACTACCTAAAATGATGCTGTTTCAGAGATGTGGCATTTTGAACCTCAAAGAGAATTGAGTTGATTTTATGTAACTTAAAATATTGCTGAGCTCTTCACAGGTATAATCAAGTCAGAGAAATAAATGTTTACTCCACATTTTTATATTTTATATACATATCTATCCTAACATTGCAAATTAAAGCTACCTTAAAATGACATCTAGATAAATTTTTGTCTTTAAAAAACTTCTGTTGGCTGTGGTGGCTGTTACGCGTGGAGCATGGAGGAGTGCGCTAGCCTCTGCGGCTTGGGCTCTTCGCGGGGATGTCGGTGTCGTCAGGAGCGCCAGGGCCCAGCTGAGACGGCAAAGGCCGAGGGCAAGCGGTGTCCTCAGAAGCGCCAGCGCCCAGCTGAGACGGCTAAGGCAGAAGGCAAGCGGTGTCGTCAGGAGCGCCAGGGCCCAGCTGAGTCGGCAGCGGCCCAGGGCGAGCCGGCCCCGGCAGAGAAGCACCTCGAGGCGGACGCGGCAGCGCGGTGCTGTGCGGGGAATGGAGGAATCCCGAGCCCCCGGCCGCCCCCGCACTGCTCGCTGCAGGACCTGCCTGTGGAGATGCTGGTGGAGATCTTCGCTCGCTCCCCGGCACCGATCTGCCCAGCCTGGCCCTGGTCTGCACCAAATTCCGCCACATCCTGCACACCGACAGCATCTGGAGACGGCGCTGCCGCGAGGAGTTTGGCCTTCGTGAAAACTTGCAGAACCTGGAGACGATAGGTCCGTCTTATCGAGAAGTCTATGCGAAGCTGTTCCACCCATACAGACACATTTTGGGATTGTGGCAGCGAGATACTGAGGGCTATAAGACACTGCTGCATGTCGTGGTGGACGGCTTACGCATCACTGGTTGGACGTACGGGCCTTGCCTTAACTCCCATGTGGATGGCCCAATGCAGTTCAAGCCCTCGTTCAGAATTCGCCTGACGGGGAGACGAAATCAGCCGCGGTGGAGTGCATGGAAGGCCGCCACAGCAGGCCCCACAGCCGCCACATGCAGATTCGGAAGGACAGGTTCAGCACCCAGTGCAGCAAGACAGACCACCTTAAGGATTCACCAACGCGGCTTAGGGAGGAATGGGGGCAGGTGCTGGTGCGGAAGGACAGACTGCGGTATGACTGCCTGACCTACCGCCGCCTCTACCTCCCGCCGAACCACCCTGACGACCTCATCAGGCCAGGCCTCTTCCAAAGCAAATACCATCGCTTCGGCCTAATGATTGCCATGCTCAGCTTCCATGGGGAGTATGCCAGGGTCACCGAGATCACGGGAAACTACAACGAGACGATAGAGATCCACCTCATGCGCCGCATCCAGCTGGGAGATGGCAAGATCTTCCGCAACTTCAACAAACTCTACCGCGTGGTCCTGGAGATTGAGGATCAGGTGATCCGGGAGCAAGAAGACGGGACTGAGGAAAGCCAGGGCAATGGCTGGCAGAGCCCTGCCCAGCCCAGCGTCGGGGAGTCCGGGGCTGCAGCTTCGGAGGAGCAGCCTGTTCCGTTTGTTCTGCCTGCGCGCGTGCGCTCAAGACGCCAGAACTACCCCCGAACCTGCAGGATGTGTTTCTATGGCGTGAAAATTGCTACCCCATGTGGCTCAGGCCACCCCATGCACTTCCATGGAGTCTTCATCCTGTTCGATGAGAACCACTTGGGGTTCATCTGTCTGGAGACGAAATACTTCACCCTGTTCGGCAGAGTCCAGAACACCTTCCAGAATGTGGAGGCACCATCCCCGCAGGCCTTCCTGAAGATGCTCAAGAACATTGGGTCCCGACCCCGTAGGAGGAGCTTGCATGCACTCTGAAGATTGGACCTTCTAACCAGGTTACCCACCTTTGTTTGTTTTTTTAATCCTCCCCCGGGGATATTTTCCCATTGATGTTTAGAGAGAGTGGGGGAGAGAGGGAAAGACAGAAATAATCGATGTGAGAGAAACACATCAATTGTCTCCTGCCCAAGCCCGGACCTGGGCCAGGCTGGGTAGGGGCCAGCAATTGAGGTAGAAATAAACCTTAGACCAGTGGTCTCAACCTTCCTAATGCTGTGACCCTTTAATACGGTTCCTCCTGTTGTGGTGACCCCCAATTTCATTGTTACAAATTGAACATAATTAAAGCATAGTGATAAATCACAAAAGAAATAAAGACATTTTAGTTAATATATATTGTTTATTTATTAACATTGAACTCATGGCCAATAGCAATAGAGCTCATTCCTTAAGGAAGCTTATCTAACAGATACATTATCTCCATAAAGCATAGCTAGTGCTTTGGCACTAAGGCTGCGGGCTATTTTAAACAGCAGGGCCACAGGATCCTGGGATGGCGTCTTCAGAGACAAATGGGGACTCTTCTCATTCCTCACGGGGACCTGAAGCAAAGAAGGAACATGGGGGAAAGGCAGAAAGCAGCTCCTCAGACTCCAGCAGTAGCAGTGAAGATGCCAGCAGCTCCAGCTCATCTTCCTCGGGGGTGGGGAGGGGGCCGGGGGACACCTCTGACTCAGACTCCAACTGAGCCTTGTTCATTCCTAGGTGGCGGGACAGAGAACTTCCCAACAGAAGTCTTTGGCATCTGTGTACACTGCAGGGCTCTTCTCCCTGTCCCTGCTTATTGCTTTACTTCTTCCTTCCTTTCCCCTCCTCCTCCTCAATACAGAGTAGGACGGGTTGGCAAGCGGGGAATTGGGACAGAACTCTCAGTATCAGGTCCACACACCTGGGAAGAGAGGTCCCTGCTGGGAGGAGAAATATATCTGAGCCTTTACTGGGTCCCCCTACACCAGTGATGGCGAACCTTTTGAGCTCAGCGTGCCAGCATTTTAAAAAACCCTAACTTAACTCTGGTGCCGTGTCACATATAGAAATTTTTTGATATTTGCAACCATAGTAAAACAAAGACTTATATTGTTGATATTTATTTTGTATATTTAAATGCCATTTAACAAAGAAAAATCAACCAAAAAAATGGGTTCGTGTGTCACCTCTGACACGCGTGTCATAGGTTCGCCATCACTGCCCTACACCATCAGTACCACTCCCTCTAGGAGCCCCAAGCAATGAAGGATCTTGAAACAAAAAGAGATGATTGGGCAGCTGTGAGGAGCACACTGCACTGGACTGCATATTTGTGAAGAAATAAGTTTTGCTTTCCTCATTTTCTGTCTACCAGAGGTGGTCGGGGGCCACCGTGAGCCTGTGACTCCTACATTCTCTGTAAGAATTCTACCTCTGGACTCTTACACTACATCTGGTGTGAGAAAGGAGTTGCCATTCTTTATGTGAGAGTGGGCAGCATCATGTAGCAGGCAATATTTATACATGTATATTTAACTCTGACATCTCTATGAGACTTTCTTACTAACTTCAAATAAAATTATATTTTCTAAGTTTAGCTGTTTCATTTGAATGAGGGCCTCCATGGAATAAATGTTTTATAATTTGGAGCACTGCTTCTCCAAGTAGTGTCTGCATTTGTCCTTGGAAAAACCTAAATTCCTTCCTTTTGCTCCAGGTTCAAGTGAATCTCCTATTTAGCTTTCAGGGTTGATGGATGTATGAGTGGATGTATGAATGAAGAGATAGATAGATAGATAGATAGATAGATAGATAGATAGATAGATAGACATATAAAGATACCTGGATAGCCCTGGCTGCTGTCCTCAGTGTTTAGAGCATTGGACTATATTCCAAAAGGCCTTGAGTTCAATTCCTGATCACGAGAACTTACCTGGGTAGCAGGTTTGATTCCTGCCCCCAGTTGGGGTGTGTTTGGGAGGCAACCAACTAATTTGTCTCTCACATAGGTTTCTCTCTCTCTTAAAAGCAATGGAAAAAATATCCTCAGGTGAGGATTAACAAAAAAAATAAGGTATGTGGATAGATACATATATAGATACATAGAAAGATATAGACGTGTAAATATACACTATATTTACTAGTCTGCCTGTGAATTACTGTGGCAGTACCACATTGCTTTGATTATTTGGTTTGCATATGTATTTGAAAATCTATCTAAGGTGAAATTAAATTAAATCCTTCTCCCCTGTATATTCCTGGCTATTTCCATATTGTGTTCTCATGAATGTAAGCAAAATAAAATAATTGTGTCATTTTTATATGAAAACCATTAAACTTTCAGCATTTAGATAACTAGATATCTTAGTGAATTATTAAGTCTTTTTCTAGATAAAGTTTCTTTTACAAAGTAAAGGCAGCATTGACATGTTTTATACCTCTAATCCTTTCTCTTTCTAAAAGTGTTGGTTGGAATATTCAGAACAAAGTTAAGTAATAGTAGTGATATGTGCTTGTCTTGCTTCAGACTTTCAAACTCATGTTTAAAGGACTTGAACTATGGAAATTATGCTGATTAATATTACATTTAGAATAAACTATATAACCTAGTCAGGAAAAAAAAAAAAAAAACTTCTATTATTTCAGGATCTGCATGAAGTTCCAATGTTCGTATAAATGTTTTATTTACCTTTTAACCAGTCACAACCCTGTGTTACTGTAGTAATATATGTATCTTAGATACTGCACTGTATTGCTCCCTCCCTTAGCTACAGTTATGTTATGGCTTTAGGTTTCTCATTATTTTTCACTCCTTTTAACCGTGATGTCAGTGGTAACACTGAGCCATTTGTAACACTGAGCAGCACATGAGAGATGTTAGAGATTTTGAGTGGGAGTAAAAATAAGTGAAGACTATTGCTATATGTTTTCAAACACTTACATTTTAATTCAGGTGTTTGTGTTGTAACCATGCAACCTCCTGTGGTAAAAATGACTGACTGCTCTTTTTTCTTACGCTCTTTTAAGCAAAGTAAAGCTACAGTTCGGCTGAAAGAAGACATGAAAAAGATAGTGGCAGTGCCACTAAGTGAGCAGAAGAATTCTACCTATAAGAAGTTATTTGGCGTCAGCCTCCAAGACCTTCAACAGCAGGGACTCACTGTGAATGGCATTCCAGCTATAGTGGGGAATATAGTGGAGTACTTGACGAAGAATGGTAAGTCAAGTCTTGTTTTAACTATGGTTTCCACAGTTCTCACATAAAACATTAAGTAGTTACTATGAACAGTCACTTTAATTATTGAGGTTTCTAGTTTGGAATGATTTCTAGTTTTAAGTGCTGAAATACACTGTTCTGATACTAATAGTTCAACTGATAGTCAATACATTTTAAAGGAAGAGAGAACTCTTGGTTTCTGTCAGCTGAGGTCAATCATGAATTCATTGGATACCTTGATTGCCTTCCTACAAAAGTAGTATGTGTAGCCTACTCTGGGGTGTTACTTTTGAAGTGATAAAATTAAGCATGTAAAACCATTGAAGAGTAACATAGTACATTGCATGATAAAAAGATAAATTATATCTCTTCATTTTTGAGAGCTATTTTGCCTTATGGTTATAATTTTATTTAAAACCTGGATAATTTGAAAAAATTATTTCATGTTCCCTACATGCTTTCAAGCTACAGCAGTATGATAAGAGAATAGCCAACTATATAATAAATATCAATACACTCTAAAAGATTTGGGAGGGAAATATTCCAAGGGAGAACTTGGAATATTCATCATTTTCTATACTGAAAAAGCCTTTCTGTACTAAAACAAGACTAATTACAGAATAGAGTGTAAAATTTTGGAGGAGTTTTAAAAGTTAACTTGAAAGTTCAAAGAAATTCTGAACTCTTGCAGTTTGCTTCAGCCCCCATATCTTCCCATGATTACAAGGCCACTCCCCCTACAAAGAAGAATCCTTCATTGCAAATGCTTGAGAAGCACCTTGCATTTGTTCCTCTATAACAGTGGTCCTCAACCTTGGCTGCACATTAGAATCACCTGGGAATCTTTTTAAAATCCTGATTTCTGAGCCTCATCCTCCAGAAATTCTGTTTCTTTGTTATGGGGTGGGGCCACTTCTTCCAGTGTACCATAGAAATCTTCCATTTTGTTTTTTAATTGTAGCTGTATTGCTTTTTATTTCCTCTTTATTCTCACATAAGTTGTTGATTTTCTCATCCATCTGCTTTATGAATTGTATGGCCCTTATTTTGAATTCTTTTTCTGACATATTGCATTCTTAAATTTCATTTAGTTTCTTTTTAAAAAGTGTCGTCTCCTTTTATTTCCTTTGGGCATTGTTTCTTTGTCTCCCCATTTTTACTGTCTCTTTCTGGCCCTGGACTCCCTGCTTGGGATCTGAGGGTTTGAAGCCCCTAGCAGTCCAATGGTCCTGGACTTGCTAGCCCCAGGGGCTGGGTCTTGCCTTGAGTTTCACACCTTTATTGCCTCAGCTCTGAATTGTACACCCTTCTCACATGGTTCTGGTCCCTCATTTATCCGCTTCTCAGGGTTGGCGAGGGCAGATACACAGTTCCTCTGGCGTACGACTGTGAAGCCTCTGGCATGCATTTTGCTGTGCAGACCCAGCTGCTAAGGCTGGATGGTACCCTAGGTCCCTCTGGCAGTGCACTTGGCAGTGTGGTCCTGTGACCTCTGGCTGAGCACACCAGGTCACACCAGCAGCTCTGACCCGGGCTGGGGGTAGGGTGTGCGCCAGGTGACAGCTCTGTCTGTGCTGGGTGCAGAGCACACACAGACCAAAGGTTTTGTCTGGGCTGGGGCGTAGCACACACTGGGCTGCGGCTCTGTCTGTGTGGGGTGCGGGGTGCGTACCAGCCAAAAGGTCTGTCTGTGCTGGTGGTGGAGCACGCTCTGTCTGTGCCGGGGGCAGGGTGCTCGCTGGGCAAGGGCTCTGTCTGGTCAGGGGTGTAACATGCACCCGGCTGCAGTTCTGTATTGGGCTCAGTCATGGAGTGGGGAATGGGGTACCCGTGGCTTGCACTCACAGCATGGGGACCTGAAGCACAGGATCCTGGAACACTGGGTCTGGGCTCTGGCTAGGAGGCACAGCTCAGCGGTCTCTCTGGTGCGCTCTCACTGCAGACATCTAGGACCCACGTCATGGTACTGCGATGCTCACTGTGGTGATTCCACGCGACTATGGCTGGCAAGCAGCTCCTTGCACAGGTTCAGGGGTGCTGTCCGAGGTTGGTCTGGATGTTGGTGTTGCAGCACTCCTGGCCTCCGTTGCTCCCCTCTTCAAGATGGTGTGGGTTCTCTGTCAAAGTCAAGCCTCCCTGGGGGTGCCCACGGCGGCAGCTGGGATTTCCCTTTTAGAAGAGCTCTATCTGCCAGTCCCTGGGACTCCTGAGATATCTCTCTGTCCCTCACTCACCCACACACACACCACATACATCCACAGACACCTCCCTCACTCTTTACTGTGTCACACTCTCTTCCTCCCTGCAGTCCTGTGGGCCACCATGTTTGGGCTCTGATTCTTGCCCATCTTTTGCTGTCTACAAAGATTCAGTGACTTAAAAACATTTTTTGGCATATATGGAAATTTCTTTACACTTACATTTTATTATTTTCTTTAGCAATGTGGTTTATTCTTTTTTAGTGTGCCATTTCGAGCACTATGAGTATTCTCATAGACCAGTTGTCGGCAAACTCATTAGTCAACAGAGCCAAATATCAATAGTACAACGATTGAAATTTCTTTTGAGAGCCAAATTTTTTAAACTTAAACTATATAGGTAGGTACATTGTTATTAACTTAATTAGGGTACTCCTAAGGCTTAGGAAGAGCCACACTCAAAAGGCCAAAGAGCCGCGTGTGGCTTGCGAGCCACAGTTTGCCGACCATGGTCATAGACTAACTTTCTAGAAGTGGACTTCTGAGTCAAAGGATATGTGCATTTATATCTGACTCTAGAAGAGTTGAACCAGTTTATATTCACATCATCAAAATAAGAAAATTTGGGTAAAATTTGAATTAGAGATTGGTTTTCTTCTTCCCCTTAGCATGTTCTTAGTTACTCTCTAATAGGGTATATTCAGATAATTCACACTAAATGTTTTAGTGGGCAAAATCAGTCATTCTTAAGTAGGGATGTGAAATAGAATCACTAACCCCCTGGCAATGGGCAAGGAGACACCTGATTGGTGATGTTGCTCTTATATCAGTCAGGGGCAAAGCAGTTGTACAGTCCTTAGTTCATCCTAGCTTGATGCCTGTGTCAATGGCGAGAGCTGTTTCATGCCTGAGGCACATAAAAAAAAAAAAAGAAATAGAATCACTAGTGGAATCTTTTGCATGGGCGGTACCTCTGGTCTACTGAATCAGAATCTTGACTGGCAAGCTAGGGGAGGTTATCTACCCATCATTTCAAAAGGTTGTATAGTTCATTAATACTTAGGCAACCAGGAACCCCTTATTGCATTTGAAATTATCATGTTAGTAAACCAAAGAGCCTATGTAAGTTCGAAGGGTGGTATACGTTTGAGGGCAAGATACTTCTATTGGCTTTATTAATTATTTTGTAGCCTTTTTCAAGTCAGCAAGTATTCATTATACATTGGTGAGTAGGCACTCTATCAGGTATGGGATATAGGGAGATTAGTCATGGTAATTTAACCAATGGTAGATACTGTGGTCATAGTACGTTCTTTAATTAAATACAGACATTTAACAACTTGACCCAAGGGGAACTCTTACTATAAAGGAATTTGGGACAGAAGAGGTTTATTAAGGCCTATATCAAACAAACTTTTTTCCTTAGAAAATACATTTTTCTTTTTTTTTAGATTCAAAGGAAAATCTTATGAGGTATATCATCTTTAGACTTATTTTAAAATAACTAGTCTTGCTGACAGTGTTACTAGATGCCTTCTCTTTAGCATAAAGACACTGTATGACATTTTAAGTAGTGCAGGATTCTGCACTCACCACCAGATGTCAGGATATGTTTATATATTGTTATACTGTTTTCTGGGCCAAAGTGTTCCAATTAGGCAAATTCTGACTCCTGGCATGTTTAGTTTCTAATGATGATATAGTCACACTCTTTTGTAATAAATATTTCAATACAAAAAAGTAGTTGTCAGTGGTGTAGATGTTAATTAGGTTGTATGATCATTATTAAATTGATGTTCCATGATGCTTAATCCATATCTCCTAAAATCAAATCTAACAAAATTTCAGAAATGTATGAGAATAATGCCACTAAGCCTTTTAGATACCTCATCCTTCTGAACATTTCAGTTGTAATTGTCATTTCCTAAAAATTTAGAGTAGGGAAATTTAGAGATTATTTAGTCTGGTAAGCCTTATATAGGCATTAGATATAAATTCAAAAGGGGTTTTAAAAAACTGTTTTGTCTTGTCCCCACCCCCCCTCCAGAGTGAATATAGCCATGACCCAGGGATAAACTTCTCCTGCTTGAAAATTACTAAATATTCTAAGAGTTCTTTGGGTGAGAGATGTTCCTGAGGGAAGAGTTGTGCAAATAAATAGAATAGAGACAGAAAGGAATGGTTGAGAAGCATTTTAACTTAGATTCCTTCCATTTATAATTTATCTCCACTAGTAAGGTCTAGTGGGACCAGGAACCTTGTAAACCAAAGCCAGTTCATGGAAGTGGGTGGTTATTTTGGAGTAACTGGAAGTATATTTATCTGAGGGAAGGGTCACAAAACCTTGTTGGAAGAGAAAACCTAAGGTCTGTGAAATCTGACCAAAGGGGCATTTGCTAGGCCAAAAATAAGCTTAGGTGCTGGGTAGATACAGGACTATGATGCAGAATTATAAATTTTCAAGACTTGGGCCTTGACCAGGAATTGGGTTCTCCTTTATTGAGTGCTCTGCTTGGTGCCAGTATACATTTCTGTGTTACAGATGAAGCTTTGTGGAGTATAGGAAACAGACCTGGAAAGCTTTAAAAATGACATGCTAAAGTCTTCCAATAGTAACTGATATTCTGCAGCACTAACTAATATGATGTACCATTCCTTTTGTCTGATACTGAATAATAGATTATCCTCAAACATAGCAGAGTAAAACAACAATGTTTATTGCCTCACGGGAATAAACATTGGTCATGAATTCCAGCACAGCTGTTTCTTCTATCATAGGGTCTCTTCTAAGGCTGAAGTTGTGGTGTTGGCTGAAGCTACAGGCTTATCAGGACTTGACTGGGGAAATGTTCACTTCCAAGCTCATTTACATGGCTGTTGGCAGGATTCAGTTCCTTGTGGGCTGTAGACTTGAGGTTTTCAGGTCCTCCTCGCTGGCTATTGTCCAGAAACTGCCCTCAGTTCCTTGCCACGTGGACCTCTCCTTAAGGCAGCTAACAAAATAAATAGCAGCAATTCATCAGAGTGAGCAAGTAAGAAGAGCCAGAGAGAGAGAGAGAGAGAGAGAGAGAGAGGGAGAGAGAGAGAGAGAAAACACAAGCAAGCAAGATGGACACCGTAAGTCTTTATAACCTAAATTCAGAAATAAGATTAGAACCTAATCACATTGCTTTGCTACATTGTGTTGGTTAAAAGCAAATTACTAGGTCCAGCCCACACTCAAGGGGTGGAGCTTTCACATGGATGTGGATACCAAGTGGTGGGGATCATTGGAGTCATTTGAGAAGCTGCATACCACACAGAGTGACCGGTATCTCCTCTGATTATGCCTTGGCCATACTGGTTGTTAAATATTTTTAAAATCATCTCTGGTTTCACAAATTTTTGTAAAACTTGGAGCTAAAATTCATATCATCTTTTGAGATTTACGTTCTTCAGAGCAAAATAATCTGTATGTTAATACAAAAATATAAACATCTCACTAGACTTCAAATTCCATAAAGGTAATGGCAGTGTTTTTTCTTTCTAAGAGTTGATTTCTTTAGTACCTAACCTAGTGCAAAGTACTCATTAATACATAAAGGGTTCAGAAAATGTGTACGAAATTACAAAGAAATTAGCATCCTTTTTCTCCCCTCCACTCCACTCCCCTCCTTTCCCCTCAGTTATGTTTTGTTTTTTATTTTTGTAACACGAAGGGAGAAAGGCAAAGGAAAAGGATCCAACTACATCCCACAACAGCTTCTGAGGTTCATGTGGAATTGTTTTGAAAAGACAATTTCAGGTCTGTTTCAGGAAAACTAAGTGGAAAGACCTTAAAATGAAAACTCCCATCTGTTTGTCACACAGGGATCCAATAAGAGATACAAAACAAACCTACTTGGAAAATGCCCCTTTAACACAGGGGGCGGGCTCTAAAGATCCTTTTTCTTTAGAAAGAACAAGACAGAAAAAAATACCAGAGGCAGGGAATATGGCGGCTGGCAGGATGGCAGTGAGGAAGTGAGTATGAGTGGTTGAGGGAGCGAAAGGGGAGTGTGTGGACATGTGGTGTGTGTGTGTGTGTGAGTGTTAGGGATAGTTAGATCCTTCAGGACTTTCGGGGGCTGGTGGACTTGGCTCTCCTAGATGGAGAGCCCCTGCTACAGCTGAAATCACTCCCTGAGGGGCCAGCTCTGACAGAAACCACACCATCTTGAAGAGGTCCAGCCTCCCCACCACCCAGACTGGCCTCAGACACCACCCTGAACCCTACAGGCACTCTGACCAAAGACCTGCTACCTCAGCTGCAGACCCACTGACACCAGGACTGCAGCATCCCTGGACATGGGCTCCTGTGGGTCCCAGAGTATGTCCCCACCCACCAGACCACTGCGTAGTTCCTGGGCACCGGTGTCCCACTGGCCAGCCTCAGACTGTGCTCACTGCCTGCCAAGCCTGCAGCATCAGCCCCAGGCACTGCACGTCTTGGTGCCTGGACCCTTCGTGAGAGCAAAAATGGGGAGATAGAGAAACATCCTCCAAATGAAAGAAAAAGAGGACGCGTGAGAAAGGGAACTAAATGAAACAGAGGCGTGCTATATGTCAGAAAAAGAATTCAGACTAAGGGTCATACAATTCCTACACCAGCTGGATGAGAAAACCAACAACTTATGTAAGAATTAAGAGGAAATAAAAAGCAATACAGCTACAATAAAACCATGATGGAAGGTTTCAACTATAAGAAGTAGACTATAAGAAGCAGAGTACCGAATTAGTGAATTAGAAGATAGGGCAGAAAAACACACCCAATCCGAGCAGCAATTGGAGAAAAAAATTAGAAAGCAGGAGGAGAGCCTAAGGGAGCTTTGGAACAACATGAAACAAAGTAACATACGGATAAGAAGGGTGCCAGAATGACAAGAAGAGGAGCAAGGATTAGAAAGCCTATTTGAAGAAATAATGACAGAATACTTCCCTGATTTGGGGAAGAAAAAAGTCACACAAGAACAGATAGTCCCAAACAAGATGAACCCAAAAAGACACACACCAAGACACTTCTTAATTACAATGGCAAATATTAACGACAGAGAATCTTAAAGTCTGCAAGAGAGAAACAGAGAGTTACCTACAAAGGATCTCCCATTAGATTATCAAATGATTTCTCAACAGAAACACATCAGGCCAGAAGGGAATGGAATGAAGTATACAAAGTGATGCAAAGCAAAGGACTGACTCCAAAAATACTCTATCCTGAAAGGCTATCATTCAAAGTTGCAGACTCGACCCCTAGTGTGGGGACATGCGGGACGCTGCTGGTGGATGATTCTCTCTCATCACTCATGTTTCTATCTCTCCCTCTCTGAAATCAATAAAATATATTTTAATAAAAACAAAAACAAAAAAAAGAGCAAGACAGTTTAGCAGGTAAGAGAAAGAAGTCAGGGCTGATATAAACAAACCCTTCCATCTAAATAATGAATATAGGAGTTAATGCTATGTCATTGCTCAAGTTCACAACTGGGTTCTCAAAGAAGAGTGGCAAGTTGAGTCCTTGGGTTACTCTTTCTCAGAATGATTGCTTCTGACACTTCTCACATTCCTTCATGGTCTGACTCACTTGTTTAAGTGGTGTGTCATCTCCTCAGACGCAGCACACTGAGCTGAAAGTCATTATCTTCTGCCTAAACTAGCCATTGTCCCTTACCCCACTTCGCCTTGTTCTTGACAGTGCTTCTCTTTCTGGATTTCTTGTTTTCACACCTTACCTTTCAACTCCTATTCTTCCTTACTTCCCTTTTGTGCTAAGTTACCAAATCACGTTTATATTCCCCTTTTCACTTTCTTCCCACCGTACGTTCTGTCTGATTGCCTCACCGTTGAATATGGTTTCCAGAAGGCAAGTTCTCTGCCCTCTGCATTCCCTACTTGTTCTCTAGGAGGTCTTTCTGAAACCTTGATTACATCGTGTTCCCCTCCTGTGCTCCCCCACTCCCCACTTGAAAATGTGCTCCAGTGATAAAGCCTGAAGTCTTTAACTTGGCATTCATGGCCCTATTCCATTTCTTCCATTTATTACCCCATCCCTGTTTGACCTAAACATTCCACATTTTTATCTGCCTATCTTTCTTTATTCTGTCCTGTCTCTGCTTAATTCATATATTTGTTCTTTTTGTCAGGGATAAATCAAAGTTTTGTGTGTTCTGTTGCTTAATCCTTTTGGGGCCCCCTTAAGAAAAAGAATACAAAATTAAAAATTCTAAATTAGGGACAGAGCACTGGAAAGGACCCAAACAAATGAGGGACCCTGAAACTTAAACTACAGTAGTTTCACATATGTCAGCCCCAACCCTTCTATCTTGCGTATATTTTAGCCAAAAATTGTGCAAAGGAGCCAAAGGTTTCCTCCATGAAGCTTTCGGTTGACCCCCGCCAAGACTAATATCACCTGTTAGTTGAAGGCAAGGATCTTGTCTTATACTACTTTATAGTCTCATAGAGTCTTATACCTTAAATTTAGTGATTATTAAAAAAATACTACTTCTTAATTAAATTGTTACAAAAATAATCACATAGAGTTGAGAAGTTTCTTACATACATGTTATTTTTTTTTTTTAAATAGTTGTTCTCAAAATGCTAAGCTGTTATTGGGGCCCAAGGTAAGTTTCTGTTATGTACTAGCTAAGATTATATGAATGAAATTTCTTTGTAGAACTGTTTGTTTTGTGGTTATATATGTTCTAACATCATTTTTAGAGGTCAGCTTTTATAACAGTTACATATGCTCTTTTGTTGGTATGTTGTAGACATAAGATGTATTTTAGGAAAACATTTTTGCAAAATATGAAACTTGGTTATTATATAGTATTCAAAGAATCCTGTCCTGAGAGTTATTTATTTTTGTTGTTGTCCTTTTGAACTTGTATCTGTAAGAGACCTCTGTCTGTTTCCTCACTGTTCCAGGACTCACCCAGGAAGGCCTTTTTAGGGTGAATGGCAACATGAAGGTGGTGGAGCAACTGCGCCTGAAGTTCGAGAGCGGCGTGCCCGTGGAGCTCCGGGAGGACGGCGACGTGTGTGCAGCGGCCAGTCTGTTAAAGCTCTTCCTGAGGGAGCTGCCCGAGAGTGTGATCCCCGCGGCCTTGCGTCCTCGGTTCCTTCAGCTCTTTCAGGGTTAGTGCAGTAAATCCTTTCATCAATTAAAAAATTTCATCTTCCAGTTAAAACTAAACTTTTAGCACTCGCTGGTTGGGCTCAGTGGATAAGATCTTTGGCCTGCAGACTGAAGGGTCCCGGATTCAATTCTGGTCCAAGGCACATGCTTGGGGTATTGGCTCAATTCCCCAATGTGGGGGGTGCATGTAGGAGGCAGCCAATCAATGCTTCACTCTCATCATTGATATTTCTATCTCTCTCTCTCCTTCTCCCTTCCTCTCTGAAATCAATAAAAATATATTTTTTAAAAAAATGAAACTTTTAAATATTAACCATTTTAATTTTAAATATTTAAACTGGAAATATTAAAATGAGCTTTTACATATTTGTCATCTCTCTATAATCACCATCTTGCTATTTTACTCTAGGCCCCCATCTTCTACCCTAAAATAATACTAAACTGATTATGAATACCATTACTAAGTGGAATTCCTAAGACTGTTGGTATAGGAATACTTCAGTAACATAATACTAAGAATGCTTTGGGGCCAAAGAATTCTTTTCTGACTAATGATTGCCATAAGAGTGAGAATACGACATTAAATCTGTGTAGGAAATAATAAGTGAACTGTATTTGGTTAGTGACCTTTGAAACTGACAAGTTACTTCTTTTTCTTATAAATAAAATTGAATCCTAAGATAATTGTATTAATTCTGTGAGGCAAAATTGATTTATGATTGTAGTATTAAGTAATTTTAAATGAAGAAACTTATTTTTATTCTCACCCATGGATGATTTTAGTGATTTTTTTTAAATTAAATCTTTATTGTTCAGATTATTACATTTGTTCCTCTTTTTTCCCCCCATAACTCCCCTCCTCCCAGTTCCCGCCCCACCCTCCGCCCTCACTCCCCACCCACTGTCCTCATCCATAGGTGCACGATTTTTGTCCAGTCTCTTCCCGCATCTCCCACACCCCTTCCCCCCCCCCCCAAGAATAGTCAGTCCATTCCCTTTCTATGTCCCTGATTCTATTATGATCACCAGATTATTTATTCACTTGATTCTTAGATTCACTTGTTGATAGATGCATGTTTGTTGTTCATAATTTGTATCTTTACCTTTTTCTTCCTCTTCCTCTTCTTAAAGGATACCTTTCAGCATTTCATATAATCCTGGTTTGGTGGTGATGAACTCCTTTAGCTTTTCCTTATCTGTGAAGCTCTTTATCTGACCTTCAGTTCTGAATGATAGCTTTGCTGGATAAAGTAATCTTGGTTGTAGGTTCTTGGTATTCATCACTTTGAATATTTCTTGCCACTCCCTTCTGGCCTGCAAAGTTTCTGTTGAGAAATCAGCTGACAGTCATATGGGTATTCCCTTGTAGGTAACTGAGTTTCTTTCTCTTGCTGCTTTTAAGATTCTCTCTTTGTCTTTTGCTCTTGGCATTTTAATTATGATGTGTCTTGGTGTGGTCCTCTTTGGATTCCTTTTGTTTGGGGTTCTCTGCGCTTCCTGGACCTGTAAGTCTATTTCTTTCACCAGGTGGGGGAAGTTTTCTGTCATTATTTCTTCAAATAGGTTTTCAATATCTTGCTCTCTCTCATCTTCTGGCACCCCTATAATTCTGATGTTGGTACGCTTGAAGCTGTCCCAGAGGCTCCTTACACTATCTTCGTATTTTCGGATTCTTTTTTCATTTTGCTTTTCTGGTTGGGTGTTTTTTGCTTCTTCGCATTTCAAATTTTGCCTTGATTCTTGCGCTCCTCTGGTCTGCTGTTGGGAGTCTGTATAGTATTCGTTATTTCAGTCTGTGTATGCTTAATTTCTAGTTGGTTCTTTATCATAACATCGAGGGTCTCATTAGATTTCTTGAGGATCTCACTACATTTATCGGCGGCTTCTAGACAGTTCTTAAGAGACCTTAAAAGTGTGGTTCTGAACTCAATACCCTCCATTGACAGTTTTGTCCTGTTTCTTTGTCTCCGCATTTTTTATGCTTTTTTGGTGCACCCCCTAGTGGTCTTTGTGCGCAGTCTTGTTGTAGTTAAGCCTTGATTGTTGCCGGTAATAGTGGGGGTGATTTGACCTCCAGGCTAACTGGCTATGAGACGATTTTAGTGATTTTGAGAGAGAAAGGATATGAGAGAGAGAGAGAGAGAGAGAGAAAAAGATCGATTGTCTACCTCCCATACTCACCCCTAACAAGGATTCAACCACAACCAGGCACGTGCCCTGACCGGGAATTGAACTGGCAACGGTTTAGTGCACGAATCACGCCCAGCCACCTGAGCCACACTGGCCAGGGCATAATTTTTTATTTTACTAGTATTCTCTCATTCCTTGAAAACCTCTGGGGCTAGATTTGAGATGTTTCATAAAGTATTAATGGAGTACCTGCTAGTTGTGTAAACTGCTAAGTAGAGGGAATAAGGTATCAGATTGTGTAACCTCTGTAAAAATAAACTTCTCTCTTTAATATGTCAGGTAGAAAATAAAGACTTACTCTTACTGAGGGCGCATCTGGTCGCTCTAAAGCTAGAGATGTCAACGCTCGTTACAGACTCACTGAAAGAAGTTATAGTATTCTCATCTCCCCTCTTCTACTACACATTGATATCTAATGAAATATTTTTGCTCTAATTTCCTTAATAAAGACTACCCTGCTTTCATATTTGTCCTCATAATAACAGGTTAGTTTTCCAGATACTCTGTCACAACGCAATGCCAGATTTTTTTTTTTTTTTTAATGTATGGTCCTTCAGATTATATCCTGTAAAAGAGCAAGCTATCTCCAAATTAAATAGCTTAAAATTCTTAGATCAAGATCCTATTTTCCATGCTAAGGAGGATAGAATTCTGGAGCCTCCACAAAGTATTTTTCAGACCTTTGAGCTGACGCGAATCTGGACGCTGCCCGAGCATCCCTGCTGTGGGGGGCAGCCTTTGGTTTTGTAGACAACGGGCCTTCTGTGGAAGAGCACATTTACATTGTCACTTTCTAACAGGAGCTGTGTGGTTTCTGAAGATGAGATGATTATTATGTTTTTAGAATATCTGCACACCAGGTATTTATCGAAAGCTATCTAAAAGTTGATTTCTGTTAAAACGTTTTGCTCCTGTCACAGTCCTGGTGTGGATGATCTAGTTAAGAGATCATCTTTTTCTGTTTTCATGTGAAGGTTATCTCTGATTGCAAGGTCTTGCCTTCCTTGATTGAGGTTTTTAAAGTAATTATCTCAGTTTGGCCATATTCCATGCCTTGGGTCCTTTATTCTTATCTTGGTGGGCCAGTAATATATGTTTTCTCTTTTTATAGCCTCAGGTGTGCTTGGGGAATAGATATGAGTTGCAAACAATAAAAAGACTTTAGGATAGGATTAACTTAATTTAGGATTAACTAGAAATCCCTTTGTGTGAATGTTCCCTACTGAAAAATCTGTAATATAAGTGCAAATATTTCTATCCCATAATTGGATATGGAAAGGCCACCCTGGCAAAGGGGGTTTGTCAAACTGTCATGAGTGGAAATTAATAAATTAGGAAGTTCTGAGACAAGGTTGAATTAGCACCAAGGAGAGCTGATGCAGACTATGCTTTGCCAAGCCCCAAAGCAGCTATTATTCTTTAGGAATTCAAATCTTTTCTATCTGTACCTAGGGTGGGGCCTTTACTTATAAAATTCGTCAGCCTGTCAGACCTGATCTTTTGTCCTGAAAGGAAGAAGCAGTCTTCCGCTTTCTAGGAACCTTCAGTGGCTGACTAATGCGTCCTCTCTCCCTTCAGGTGAATTTGGGACTCAGCCCAAAGACTCATGCTATTAGCTTGGTAGGATCAGATGTATGCTCTTTGTGGGGTCTTTTTTTTTTTTTTTTTGTAATCTAATTTTTCTTTTATTTTTTTATTTCAAGAAAAACAATTTTAAGTATAAATGTTTATCTCGGCGACCCAGATGTTTTTGTGTGTTGTTTTTTTTATTGATTTTTTAGAGAGGAAGGGAAAGAGAGAGAGAGTTAGAAACATCAATGAGAGAGAAACATCGATCAGTTGTCTTCTGCACGCCCCTACTGGGGATGTGCCCGCAACCAAGGTACATGCCCTTGACTGGAATCGAACCTGGGACCCTTGAGTCTGCAGGCCGACGCTCTATCCACTGAGCCAAACCGGTTAGGTCCAGCTGTTTTTATTTAAGAAAAAAGAGAGATTCTGATGTGCCATCTAGACAATTGGTCAGTTAATACAAATAATGGAAATGAAGAGGGAAAGTTATTATGGGGCCATGATGAGTAAAATGAATGTCAGTGCTTAGAAGATGGGGGATTAAGGCTGAAGATGTGAATTTCGTAGCCATCCACATAAACTCAACAGTCTTCATACTTAGCATTTTGAATATTATAGCTGTAAAGAGATGGCAGTAAGCTAATTTTATATATCTTTCATCGTGCTTTAAGTGCCTATTCTGTGCCAAGATTTCGCTTAGATGATTTATGTATGTGTGGCTTCTAAACCCATTACAGCTACTCCTACAATACAGTTAACCTTCACCAATGCAGGGTTAGGGACACATGTGTGCATGTTCTCCTAAAGTCTCTCCCTTCTTAGAGCACTACTTCTGTGGCATCAGGTAACCTTAATTGTCTTCTTATAGGCCCTATCTCCAAATACAGTCTCATTGGGGGTAAGTAGGGCTTTGACCTGTGAATTTTGTACAGACAGAATTCAGTGCATAACACAGGGCTTTTAAAAACGTATGACACACCTGGCTGGCATGGCTCAGTGGTTGAGTATCGACCTATGAACCAGCAGGTCCCAGTTCCCGGTCAGTTCCGGGTTGCAAGCTCAATCCCCAATATGGGCCATGCAGGAGGCAGCTGATCAATGGCTCTCTCTCATCTCATCCATTATGTTTCTCTCCCTTCCTCTTTGAAATCAATAAAAATATTACAAAAAAATGTATCATAGTTTATAAAAAGAAAAATGTATCACAATTTGGTAAGTGTACAAGTGAAAATTGATTAGTAAAGAGCCTACAGTGGATGCTACTTAGGTGGTCTCTGGGATAGAAATTATTATTACAGAATTGATGTTTTTTGTCTTGGAAATCTTTAATGGCTAGCACAGCTAAAAGTAAAGAATGATTCTAAAATCCATGGGAAAAATTTTACTGGGGTGTATTTTCTTAATTTGTATAGATAATTCTTTATGTTTTTAGTTTATGTTTTAACATTGATTCTCTTTGAGAATTTATTACTTGCAGTGACAATAAATTACCACTGTTTAGTTTAATGTCTAGCAGATGTTTTATTTATATAGTTTAAAACCTAGCAAGTATTTTATTTATATAATCTCTTGATCCCAGCACCAGCCCTAATGTGATATAGGCCCCTTATTTCTTAGCAGATTTTCACTGATTCTCACTTTTTCAACTGGCACTTCACTATAGCCCTGGGCTGCCTCAGGTATCCAGGAATCCAGTGATACCCAGAGACTAAGCGTCAGCACTCCTACCTGATAATACACTTGCCCAAATGTGTGTGTGGCGGTAAGCTCCCTAGAGACTGACAGGCTTTGGAACAGTCTCTCTTCAGTCGCTTGCATTCACTTCTAAACGTCTTTGAAATCTCATCTACTTCTGTCTTCTCTGCTGTTTTTGTTGCCCTTGGGTGCTTATGCTTTTTGAACATTATTTTATTGTCATTATAATGGAATCTTGGGAAGAACATGGGATCACTCCTTTAAATGGACATTCTCCTTTGCCTCCCCCTCCCCCATACTTGATTTTAAATGGAACAGAAGTTTATAATAGCTGTGCAAACAATATGTGAGAATAAAGTGCTGTGAGTTTTAGTTTATGAGCGTTTGATAATTTAAACAGCAACTGTTTTTCTGAAGAAAAGCACCCTGATAGTAGGGCCATTTTAATGAGTACTGTGTCTAATTGTAAAGACATCTAATTTAATGAGCTGACTTGTGCTTGAGTCTTGAGTTCTGCTTTTTTCATTATCTGAGGAATTCACTCAGAAAGTTTGAGTCAAGCTTGTCTTTATCCATATGCATATCATGATGACACTTGCATTGCTTGCAATCAGCTGAGTGGTTTTTACCCTGCAGATGTTGGCTAGTTGTAATACTAGTGACGTCATCACTCTTTGGATAGGATGAGCTCCATGGGAAGGACATGACATTTTTCCTCCCCTAAGTTAATTCCTTCTTACTGAGATGCTCCTTTTCTTTTGAAATTATTCAACCTTCACAAATTTCTGTGTCTATGAAAAACAATCATATTAAACTCCAAGTTTAAGCCCTTTCATTTTCAGTTTGTGCCTTTTAGGCATTTGATAAGCAATAACAAGTATATAAACGCTTCTTTTCTTCTGGATAAAAATCTAAATGTAGAAAAGAATTAAAAGGTTGCCACTGGCATATCTGCCCAAGGTGCCAATCATTCAGATTGTGAAACCTGCACTGGAATGAGTTGCAGATGTGGTGCCAGGAAGCCCAGGTTTCCACATGTGACTCCATACATTGTGATGACATTCCAGTTGGTTCTGCTTCCTGCAAATCCACGTGACAGGAAAAACCTTACTTGTGTTTATGATACTCTGTGATCTCTAAGATTGTATATCCTGATAACTAGATGACCTTTTCTGTACAGAGCACATATATAAATCTTTTTTTTTTCCTTTGATGCTATGAGATAGTTATAAGTAATGAGTGGGATTATTCAAATTCTGAATGAGAAGCCTTGGCTAAGCAAAATTCTGCATTAGAGCTGGTCTTGAAGTATGTGTGTGTGTGTGTGCATGTGTGCCTGTAAATTTGTTGAAGTGTTTCATCTATTGTCCTCTATTCAGTTCTCTTTATTCTTGACAGATTATACCTTTACAATTATTTTATTGTCATTTTAGTGAGTCATTAGGAGAAAAGTAGATAAACTTATCTTTAGCTGTAACTTCTCTGACTTTTTTCCCCCTATACTTGATTCTAAAGCCAACAGAATTTCTTTTAAGAGGTTTATTGAGATATAATTTATACATCATAAAATTGACCCATAAAGTATATGATTTAGTGATTCTTAGTGTATTCACAGAGTGCAATTATCACCACATCTGGTTTTAGAACATTTTTATCATTTCAAACTGGAAGTGTATTAGCAGATACTCCCCATTCTTTCCTCAGCCTCCCCGCTGCCCCTCCACGTCCCCCAGCCCTAGGCAGTCCGTCTATATAGATTGCCTATTATGGGCATTTCCTATAAATGAATCACACACCATGTGGTTTTCTTGTGACTGGCTTCTTTCACTTAGTATAAGTTACAAGGTCCATTCTTGTTAGAACATAGATCAGCACTTCCTTTTTATGGCTGGTTAATATTCCCTTGCATGACTGTACCACACTTTTGTTATCCATTCATTCATTGATAGACTTTGGGCCTTTTTCACCTTTTGGCTATTATGAATAATGCTGTTATGAACACGTATTTACATGGTGTTATATGGGCATAACCTTTCGACTAGCTGTGCTGTTATGAACACTTATCTACAAATTCTTATTGGTTATGTGCTTTCATTTCTCTTGAGTAACTGCCTAGGAGTGGATTTGCTGGGTCAAATGGTAACTTTATGTTTAACATTTAAGGAACAATTTTCCCAAGTAATTGAACTATTATACATTCCCATCAGTAATGAATGAGAGTTTTAATTTCTCTACATCCCCCCAACACCTGTTGTTACCTGTATTTTTTATTTTAGGCAATAGAATTTTGTAGTAGCAGGAAGATTATGGGCCTGCAGAGGAGGAAGGGAGAGGAGACTAAGCCCCTTCAAGGCCAAGAGATAAGGTCTATTAGAGATTTTTGGAATTAATTGTTATGAACTGAGTGAAATCCTCAGTAAATTCTGCATTTTTCACTCATGCTTTTATGTGAATATCTTATTTGGATTGAGCTGGAAGAGAGTACAGACAACTAATGAATTATTTAAAAAAAATATGCAACTTGTGTTCTCTTCGGCAGCACATACACTAAAATTGGAAAGATACAGAGAAGATTAACGTGAACCCCGTGCAAGGATGACATGCAAATTCGTGAATCATTCCATATTTTTTTTAAAAAAAGGTATCCAACTTGTATTTATAGAAGGTCAATTCACTTAAAAGAAATATTGAAAATTTGCTTAAAGAATATCAAATTGAAAGTATGTCAAATGATTAGCTTGCTGGTCACCCGTAAACCTGTCCTAATTCCATTCAGCTGCATTGTAAACACCTACTTTTCTGAACCCATGGACATACTCAATTTTTGCATTAAGTCCATAAATAAATTTGAAGACTTAAGGGAGAAAGAAGAGACCTTCAAAATAGACTTAAAATAACTCTGGGCTTAACTCTGGGCTTCATGGTTTAATTCAAAGGACACCAACTCAGTCCACTTACAGCTTGAGCAGCGTCAGCTGAATCTTGAGGAAAGGATAAGTGGTGATATGTTTTCCCTATTAACTACTTAGTAAGTAGTGTGTCAGTCCCTCCCCCCCCCCCCCCCCACACACACACACTTAATATAGCACTAGATTCATAGGGAAAGCCAAGAAGCTAAGTTTTATTGAGCTGGGATAGTGCCTTATTGTTCAAGATTAGCATGTTATATATTCAGAGGCTCCCCTTTCTGTGTGCTGTGGTGATTTTTCCTGTTCTCCTGTGTACTGGCATCCCATATGAACACGTTCTTCATCTGTTAAATGCTTGTCTAACAGCTAACCTAGATTTGATCTTCCATTTTGGACATTTAGATAGACTATTTTATATGTTTCTTATATTTTTATCTGTGCTACCTGTTTCCCCTGACAAGCATGCAGCACTCAGTAAATGCCCTCAGAACAGATTAGCTGACCTACTATTTACGTATCATCAGGAGTTAGTTTTTGTTATAGGGCTGAAATGCAAAGCCTCACTAATTCTCTGTTCAGCCTGCAGGCCTTTGCCTACATGTTACTTTGAGCAGATACTAATTGTGTGGGTCAGCATGCAGGTTCATTCTGGGAGCAGGAGTGAAGTGTGGATCCTGGCTAATTTAGCAATACACACACTTCTGCATCTAATCAGAATCTAATCAGAATGGTAAGATTGGTAGTTTCATTAATAGTGTCTAAGAATAGACTAATTAATTTTTATTAGTCACTTTATCATCTCGCACTTTGAGAAATTTGTGTGGGGCCTCTGAGAAAGAACTTTGTCATGGTCAAGGGTTACGAGAGAGCTATAAAAACATAGCCTCTCATTTTACATGGAAAAGTACAAATTCCATTAGTTATAAGATGTGATTATGAAGCTTCTCGTCACTCGAAAGAAATGATTCTACTTCTGGAGAATGAAATGCAGAGGCAGTTTGTGATTGCTTTTCCCATTCTTCTGCGAATGCATATTTAGAAAGTATGTCATTCACGTTTTTTATTCTCACTATTTTTAGAAAACATTTTGTGCCCGACATTCTTGTAGGCTCTTATTAAAATGTTGTTCCCCACACACACACATATCTCAGGACCTAAGAAGCTATAATGTATTAGGGTTCCTACCCAATACTATTCATCAATTTTGCTTGTCGATTCAGAAAACATTTTAAAAATATTGACATGTATGAAACAGCTAATTCTGTTAGAGTGCGTTGATCAACTCATGTGCTCTGAGGTCGGACTGCCCGGACTTGAACTGCAGTTGAGCTCTGCGGTGGTTGTGTGGACATGGACAAGTTTTCATCTCTGTTTCAGTCTAGTTGTCTCTAAGTGGGATGAGATTCCTGTTGCCGCTTTACCACAAACTTAGTGACTTAAAACAGCGAGCATACGTTTATTATCTCATAGTGGGGTGTGAAGGCTCAGCTAGTTTCTCTCTTCAGCTCTCACAAGACTAAAATCAAGGTGTATGTTGGCCTGAGTTCTTACCCGACCAGACTCACTCAGGTCGTTAGCAGTCTTCAGTGCCATGTGGTTGTAGGACTGAGGTCCCTGTGTCCTTGCTGACGTCTCCTCAGTTTCTAGGAGCTGTCCACATCCCTGAGCTTGTGCCCTCTCTTTATCTCCAAAGTCAGCAACAGCTCATTGTTCTGTCTAATCAATTAGCAAGTTTTCATAAATCCTTTTGTGAAGCTTAATGAGGAAATAAAAAGCTACTTCAATAAATCTGGCACCATGAGGCTATTGCTTGTTTTAATGGCTGACCTTCTCATGACTTTGAGATATATTGTGGTACAGATTAGCATTCAGTTTGTTTTTTTTCTCCTTGAGGCTAAAATTGTAAGTTCAGTATAACTTCATGGCCAGTGAAAAGTTAGAGCACGTGACAAGCACTAGGATAAATGTCCAGATTAGAGTTAGGTGTCACCCCTCATGTGATCTGGGTCCAGCATTACTGGTTATGCTTATCTTTTTTAACGAGAGCAAATACTTGTCACCTGGTTCACTGGTTGCTGCTTACTCTGGAACAGAAGTTTTTATGGTACAGTCTTCTCTAAGTGCTGACTAATTTTCTCTGTGTACTGTGTAGATGCTGCTAGTTGAGTGTCCGTGTCTTTGCTTGAGAAATGGGTCAAATTTAGCCAAGAATGAATGAAAACTTTCAAGAAAACTTGAATAATTTGAAGTGACACTTTTCCCTAAAAGAGTAAGTTTGTTCTTGTTCTAGGAAAAGGTTGATGTTAAGGAAAATGATGACTATTTCAGTTATTAACCATTATTCCATCTGCAAAGTTTTCTTAAACTTTCCAGACCCATGAATTAACACATTCTAATTTTGATTCCAATTCATAGAAATAACTTCAGGTTTCAAGTAGTTAAAATATTTTAAACAGCTTCAGAGATACATGTACTTCCATTTCTGAGGCCCTTCTGTGGAATTTCATTGCTGAGTATCCTTATTCTCCCACCATCAAATAACCCTTTCTTATCATTTAAATAACTCTCTTTGATCCAACTCCAACTTAACACTTTGAACCAGCGAGTTCTTTAAATAGATTAAATTATTCCACATTTCTTTCAGATATATTCGAGATATAGGAGTCTCTTAATTCCTATGCTAGTTTGTCTTACTGTGTCTTAAAAGTGTGTCATAAGCGTGTATCAGTCTATTAAAGCTATCTTTTTTTCAATCCTCACCCGAGGATATTTTTTTCCATTGATTTTTTAGAGAGTGGTAGGGAGAGATATGCAGAAAGAAAGAGAAACATTGCTATGTGAGAGACACATGGATTGGTTGCCTCTCACACATGCCCCTACTGAGCAAACCTGTAACTCAGGTACCTGCCCTTGACCAAGAATAGAAACCACAACTCTTTGGTACATGGGCCGATGCTCTAACCACTTACCAACACTGGCCAGGGCTAAAACTATTTCTTAACCACTTTTTATATGCAAGGAATTTATTGAGGGGCTTTAAGAGACATTTAAAACTGAACCTCCAACTCTGAGCTCACATTTGCCAGTTTTGTGGATTTTTATTTTTTAACTTAAACTGCCTATAAACATCAGACACATTCTCAGTGAGGCCTTCCTGAAAATCTTATTTATAATTTCAGTCACCATCCCTCACCAGGCTGGTACTCCCAGCTCCCCTAGCCCTGTTACTATATTTATTGTTTAACATTTTACCTACTAGACCAGGGGTGGGCAAACTTTTTGACTCGAGGGCCACAATGGGCTCTTAAACTGGACCGGAGGGCCGGAACTAAAGCATGGATGGAGTGTTTGTGTGAACTAATATAAATTCAAAGTAAACATCATTACATAAAAGGGTACGGTCTTTTTTTTTTTTTAGTTTTATTCATTTCAAACGGGCCGGATCCGGCCCGCGGGCCGTAGTTTGCCCACGGCTGTACTAGACTCTGAGCTCCATGAAGGTAGGGGTTGGTTTGTTTGCTTGCTGCTGCATCACAAATGCCTAGAATTTTGCCTAGCATAGAATAAACCACTCAATAAAGACCTCTTGAATGATTGTTTCATACATGTATTTTACATAGATAAAACAACTTACATATGTAGAACAAACAAGACACGTTTAAACTTTATCCAGAATCTGCACATGTCTTACCATCTCACTGCTATCAACCTCTGGTCCAGGGACAGCTGGCTTTTACTTTTCTGGACTGTCACAATAGTCCCCTACCTATTCTCCCTGCTTTCGATTTTGCCCCTTAGAGCCTAGATTCAGCACAGCAGCCCGAGTGGCCCCTAAAGTCACATCCCCCCACAGCTCAAAACCCTCACTCAGGGTGGCAGTAGGGAGTCGGGGGGGAGGCCATAGCTTAAAATAAGACTGTGTTGGCTGGCTCTAGTCCTCCCCCACACTGTCTCCTGACTTTATTTTCTACTACTCTCCCACCTATACCACGTGGCCCCAGCCCCAAGGCCCCTTCAGGGCCCCCTTTTCATTGCTTAGAATGCACTTCCCTCTTCGCTTCAGCTCTCTGCTTAGCGGTTCCCATGTTAGAGAGGCCTCCCCTGACTCCTGACTGTGTTTCATGAAATAACGTTCCCCACCCCTGCATAACGCGGCTTTACTTCCCCTTTCCCTGCTTTATATTTCTTCATAGCACTTATGTTACTGATCGTTTGATTGTCTCTCCCCTTGATTTGAATATGTTTCATAAAAGCATGATGTTTCTTTTGTTCAGTGCTGTATCTTCAGCGTTGTCAGACACATAGAAAACACCTGGAAATATTATAGATAGTGTACAATAAGTATATATCATGAATTAGTGTGTATTAATTCATAGAAGCACTGCTAATTCTTTTTTATAATGTGAAAACTCGAGGGAGAGCCATTGTAATTACCAATATAAATGCAAGAACATGAGTGAATAGGTAGTATTTATTATATTTAGGTATCAGCAAATCAAAAGATAATGAAAGTAATAATAAAGTAATTATTATGAACTGTGTTTCTCACAAACATGAAAAGGCTTCTGCTTATTAGGCACATTTGCACCCAGACTCCCAGACTCAGTGCTTTGTTGGGCATTCTCCTACATTCTCCTACAGGCTTCTCCAAAGGAGTTGAGCCATGGTGATTCTCTCGTGTAGGAAGTCTTGCTGTAATGGTGCTATTTACCACATATTTCTGGAAAGCAGTGCAAACTGCAGATTCTCAGTATGTTAGCACATAATTAATCAGTATGAAAAGAAGTGAGAAGAAATATGCTAATAAGGAAAGGCCTTTACTGCACTGTCAGTATGTTTAAAGAAAGATTCAGGAGGTCCATTGTGACTATTGAAGGTTCAAATGCAGTATGTAAAACCACTGACGTAGAGGACACTCAAGATTCTCGCCCAGTGAGTGAATCAGTGAATCCATCTTCCATCAGAGGAAATGGAAGTTTGGGGGCATAGAATGAGATAAAGATAAGACATATTTTCCGCAATTACTTCTGTTTTTTTTGAGAATATGTTTAGTGATTCTTCCATTCATGCCATAAAGGATTTAATATTATTTTAATAAGCTTGAGAGTCTCTGAATATATCTATTTCCATTACTTGTCCATTTTATTTCCTTGGGAAGATTATTTATTGCATTTCAAAAATTGGAAGTAAATTATGAAAATGTTACATTTTTAAGGATGCTATTGTCATAAATTCATAACTATTTGAGAATTTATTTTATTTGACGAGGTTTCTTCGCATGCAAGGGTTTGAAATTTCATGTCAGACTGAGGCCAGTGGCCCATTCATTTCCAGGGCTATTGGAATTCTGTTGCTTGTACCCTTAAATGTACACTTTTATATTTTTTTAACTTTATATTTTTAAATATTTACAGGTGTTTAATCTTAACTTTTATTGTTCCTATTCTCTATGTACATATAGAGGTTAATTTGTTCTTTGCAAAGCAGTATTATTTATATGTAAACTTGTAGTTTCATACAATAACCCAACAATTTCACTCTTCAATGTATACCCCAAGATACACTCTGTACATGTACACCAGAAGTTATGTACAAAAATGATCCTTACAGCACTGTCCCCAGGAAGTATTTGAAACAATCCAAATAACCTTTAAGAGGGGAGTGGATAAACTGTGATAAGGCAGAATGGAATATTATACAACGAATGAATATTGTAAAATGTACTGCAGCCTCTTGTAATAACGCAAATGAAGCTTAGTAATAAATTTCTTCCAGCAGTAACTTTTCATTATAAAGACAACTCAAACATAAACATACAGTCACAATGGAAGCAGGAAAATGATGAGCAAGGAAGTCGGGATGGTGTAATTATAATAGAATGTTTTGCAAAACAGTTCCAGCAAAGATGGAAATCTACACGTTTCTGGCATTGCTGTTTAGTAGCATCACTTGTTCTAACTTCATAAAGGTGAACTGCGCTCGTATTAAAGGCATTTCATTTCAGCCTCAGTGTGGTCATAAAACCACACCTCAATGGAGGTAAAGTAAAAGGAGCTATTAATACTTATTTATAGCATTTAGTATGTGTCAATCACTCTTTTAAGTACTTTACAAGTATTTCATTTAATCCCCATCACAACCCTATAAGATAGTTAATATTACCATTTAAAAATAAGGAAGCAGTTTAGTAAAGTCTAAGGTCACATAGGTACAGCAGTCTAGTCTCCCCGTATTCGAGGAGGATACATACAACCCACTCCCCCACCAGTGGATGCCTGAAACCAGCAGATAGTACCTAACCCTATACATACGATGTTTTTTCCTATACATTTATACCTATGGTAAATTTATAAATTAGGCACAGTAAGGTATTAACAACAGTAATAACAAATAATAAAATAGACCAATCATGCTCTACTGTAATAAAAATTTTGTGAATTTGCGCGCGCTCTCTCTCTCTCTCTCTCTCTCTCCAGTAATTTTTTATATTTTCAGTCCAGACTTACTTCTGTGTAATTTTTTCCTTTCTTTCAATAAATGGCTCAGTGTTACTCATTACAGGGGGTCGGTCCCCTGCTAAAGTCTCCGTGTAGGCTCAATGCTTTCTGGAGCAGCACTGTTGTTGTTGTCCACTGGAACTTGTTTTCTGTTCACGTGTTCTACCCTGAAGCCACTTAATGCTTTCCCATCTTAACTAAGCACTTATATACTATGGCCATAACTTTTGGAGTTTGAGGTGCAAGGGAAAACTAGCATGAATTCCTTTGTACTTCTTCACAATTTCAGGAATACAAGGTTTGTTCTTACTATAGTAGATCATAGGAACCTCAGATATGATTTTTCTTAAGTCAAGAACTTTCATCTTTTCACTTAAAGGAACCCATTTCATGCAGTGAATAAAGCTCTTGGTTTTCAGCATGTCTTGAATAAGTTAGGAATTCTTTAACATTTCAAAAAGTTAAATGCTTAAGGAGCATAGGAAAAGCAAAAGTGAGTGCCCTTTTTTGTTTTGTTGTGTTAATCCTCACCCAAGGATTCTGTTGATTATAGGGAGAGTAGAAGAGAGAGGGAAGGACAGAGAGGAACACCTGTGAGAGAAACACATCGAGACTGGTTACCTCCTGCAAGAGCCCCTACCAGGGCCCTGGCTGGGGAGGAGCCTGCAGCCAAGGTACTTGCCCTTGACTGGAATCGAAACCGAAACCAGAATTTTGGTCCGCAGGCCGACACTCTATCCATTGAGCCAAACCTTAGGCCCTTTTTGATGGCCTATCTCAATCTTTAGGAATCTTTTTTCTGAATAAAGTGTTAGAATTTAAATATCTGTGTATTTTTGTTATTGTCACAGTGAAATATGCCTGAGTACATTTTTCTTTTTCTTTTCAGATGACACAAATGATGCTCAGGAGAATAGCTTAAGAGCCTTAATAAAAGAGCTGCCAGACATGCACTACTGCCTCCTCAAGTACCTCTGCCGGTTCTTGACAAAGGTAGCCGAGCACCATGTGCAGAATCGCATGAATGTCCACAATCTCGCCACTGTGTTTGGGCCCAATTGCTTTCAGTAAGTCAGTGGAGTTTGCTTTCAATATTATCACATACCCCTTTTCTTTTAGCATTGCCTGAAATGACTGGGATGTAGATGCCTACTATTTCAAACCAGAAAGCCAACCAATTCAGTTGGAGAAGTTCCATCTTGCTATTGAGCATTTTAGCCTCATTTTTTTGTCTCAATTTTTAAGAAAGCAGACAATACCCTCTATGAAGCCATCATTTGTAATATTTCAAACAACCTTATTTAAAATTCTGAAAATAAGCTTTACTTTCACTAAAAAAGGGCATTAAAAAATTTAATCTGAAACATTGATTAGCAGAAAGGAAAGGAAAACGATGTAGGACATAATTTCTTTAATAGTGATAAAGGTCAAAACATTGCTAATGGATGGAAAATTACAAGCGGAATATGTCAGTGACAGAAAAATGTAACCTCAGCTACATTTATTTATTTTCTAGGAATAAACTAGACTAGAAATAAACTAGTTTTCTGTGGTGGGTGCTACATCACTAGCCACAAGAATTTTTGTAAAGCTTTATTTTTATTTTCCCTTTTATTCTTGAAAGCTCTTTAAAGTATGAAACATGATCTTGCAATCCAGGGACTTTGCTTTTCACTCTCCTATCAATCCCTGCTGATAGAAAACACATTCCTTCTAGTTATAAGGAAAGAGACAGAGAGAGAACACTCCTCACACTTTAAAGGGTCTCAGAAGTTCTCAGGAAGTTTTTTGCTTTTTCCTTAGTAGTGTATCTGCTTATCCACTCCATTAGTCTGCAGACCCATTCAGCTGCCCAGAACTAGTAATTTTACAGCGGGAGAACCACTGTCTAAATATAAACTCTGGCTTAGATCATAGTGGCTACAGGCTTCAGGACCTTTGCAACCTACTAGAGGGAGAAGTTCTGCCTTAATAATGATCCCCTTTGTAACCTTAGATATTTAAATTTTAAATAACAGCATTTCATAGGATATGTTAGGGTCTCATAAATAAATGTCTCAAACACAGGCTCCACTAATTCTTATCTTACTCAGGAGCTCTATGGTAGTAAAAAAGCTGTGTTTCCTTTTATGTTTATCTGCAGAGTAAACTTTGGTAACTTGCATCTAAGAACTAAAGGTAAGTAGAAAATATTACTCATCAGTTTTGAAACCCTAGGTTCTAGAAGAGGTGAAAGCAAATTGCAAATAGAATGCTTATTTAATACCACACAGATGCATATCTCATTGCTGGCTTACTGGATTGGGCTTGATCTGGAATTTCTGACAACCTGCTTCAATTAGTCAAAATATCAAATAAGTGATGAGTTTTTATTATAGAGTCTACTAATGATTATAGCTTAACAATTTTTTATTGCGATAAAATATACATAACAGGTCTGGTGGGTGTGCTCAGTGGTTAGAACTGCCGTGGGCAAACTACGGCCCGCGGGCCGGATCCAGCCCGTTTGAAATGAATAAAACTAAAAAAAAAAAAGACCGTACCCTTTTATGTAATGATGTTTACTTTGAATTTATATTAGTTCACACAAACACTCCATCCATGCTTTTGTTCCGGCCCTCCGGTCCAGTTAAGAACCCATTGTGGCCCTCAAGACAAAAAGTTTGCCCACCCCTGGGTTAGAACGTCAGCTCTTGCACTGAAGCATCGTGGGTTAGATTCACAATCAAGGGCACATCCCTGGGTTGCAGGTTCTATCCCCAGCCCTGGTCAGGGCACATGTGGGAGGCAACCAATCAATGTATCTCTTTCACATCAATGTTTCTTTCTCTCCCCTCCCTTCCACTCTCTTTATTTATTTATTTTTTTTAGAACCTTCCACTCTCTTTAAAAATCTTTGGAAAAAATATCCTCGGATGAGGATTAAAACACACACACACACGTATGTAACAAAATTTACCATTTTAACCATTTTTAAATATACAGTTCAGTGGCACTAAGTACATTCCTATTGCTCTGATCTATTAATTGGTATGTATTTCTAAACTTATGGATGTAGACGTCACTACCAGGTCCTTTTCTCATTGAAATAGGCTATAATAATTGTAACATATAGTGTATATCGAGCACTTAGAAAGTACTGTACTGTCTCATTTATCTAATTGATTCTAAAGAGGTAGAAATGGTTATTTTTTTCTTGAAGTTCCTCTAACTACATCAGGGAAAAGTAGACACTTCAACTCTAGTGACCACAGTTAGTCCGTCTACACTATGTTATAAAAATGGTCAGTGAAAAGCTGCTATTCAAGGACAAGTCTCACCATAAACCACTAAAAGACAAACAAAGGCAATACTTTCCTTAATAACTAATGTGAATACACTATATAGTCAATAGATGAGGAAGATTTATTTCTAATAGATATGGGAACATACTTATGAAATAATTTTTAAAATAATATAAAATTTTAGATACAAAATAATGTCTATGAAATATATAACCATATAAATGAAAAGAAATACACAAACAATATATGATTGTTTGGTTTTCTGGATGCTGGGCTTCTAGGTGACTCTTCTTTTTTAAAAAATATATTTTTATATTTAAATTTATTTATTTAAAAATTTTTTATTTGATTTCTGAGAGAGAGTGAGTTATAGAAATATCAATGATGAGATAGTGTGAAATTTGCTATACTTTATCTATTTAACTATTGATGAGCACTGAAGTTGTTGTCATTAAAAAAAAAAACAACCAGTTACTGTATATGGTGCCAGGGGGGTATTGGAAATACAGGGAGAACACTTTATAAAGTATATGATTGTCTAACCACTAGGCTGTACACCTGAAACCAATACAAAATAATATTAAAAGTAAACTGTTATTGAAAAACAAAACAAAACAATTTAACCATCAATTAAAAAATGGTTAAAAACAAAGCAGTTGCAGCGAACCTTGAGTGTGACTCGATGTACACGTGCAACTGTTTCTTTAGAATGATGTCCTAGAAGTGGACCTGTGCCACTGAAGAGTTTACGCTTTTTATAATATACTATGGCAATAATATAATGATGTTTTTATAGTATAAAATAATAATATAATGATGTCTTATAGCATAATATTTTCATAATATACTGTGGCATAGTAATAAGTATTTTTCTATGAAAAATTCATCAAACTTTAGACTGTAAACTATATATTTTCTATATCATATTTCTAAAGAATTTTGTAATATTCCAGTTTCTTTTTGTGTGTGTATTTTTATTGTTGTTAATCCTCACCCGAGGATATTTTCTCCATTGATTTTTAGGGAGAGTGGAAGAGAGGGGGAAACACAGAGAGAAACATCAATGCGAGAAAAACACATTGATTGGTTGCCTCCTGCATGAGCTCTAACCAGGGCCACGGCCAGGGCCAGGGAGGAGCCTGTAACCGAGGTATGTGCCCTTGACCGTAATTGAACCCGGGACCCTTTGGTCCAATGCTCTGTCCACTGAGCTAAACCGACTAGGGCCCTAATATCCCAGTTTCTAAGATAACTAAAAATTCTGCTAAAGGATATTATTATTTTAAGATGAACATTTTGTTCCTTTTTTTTTTTTTAATTAAATCTTTATTGTTCAGATTATTACATTTGTTCCTCTTTTTCCCCCCCATAACTCCCCTCCTCCCAGTTCCCGCCCCACCCTCAGCCTCACTGTCCTCATCCATAGGTGCACGATTTTTGTCCAGTCTCTTCCCGCATCTCCCACACCCCTTCCCCCCCCCCCAAGAATAGTCAGTCCATTCCCTTTCTATGTCCCTGATTCTATTATAATCACCAGTTCATTCTGTTCATCAGATTATTTATTCACTTGATTCTTAGACTCACTTGTTGATAGATGCATGTTTGTTGTTCATAATTTGTATCTTTACCTTTTTCTTCCTCTTCCTCTTCTTAAAGGATACCTTTCAGCATTTCATATAATCCTGGTTTGGTGGTGATGAACTCCTTTAGCTTTTCCTTATCTGTGAAGCTCTTTATCTGACCTTCAATTCTGAATGATAGCTTTGCTGGATAAAGTAATCTTGGTTGTAGGTTCTTGGTATTCATCACTTTGAATATTTCTTGCCACTCCCTTCTGGCCTGCAAAGTTTCTGTTGAGAAATCAGCTGACAGTCGTATGGGTATTCCCTTGTAGGTAACTGACTTTCTTTCTCTTGCTGCTTTTAAGATTCTCTCTTTGTCTTTTGCTCTTGGCATTTTAATTATGATGTGTCTTGGTGTGGTCCTCTTTGGATTCCTTTTGTTTGGGGTTCTCTGCGCTTCTTGGACCTGTAAGTCTATTTCTTTCACCAGGTGGGGGAAGTTTTCTGTCATTATTTCTTCAAATAGGTTTTCAATATCTTGCTCTCTCTCATCTTCTGGCACCCCTATAATTCTGATGTTGGTACGCTTGAAGCTGTCCCAGAGGCTCCTTACACTATCTTCGTATTTTCGGATTCTTTTTTCATTTTGCTTTTCTGGTTGGGTGTTTTTTGCTTCTTCGCATTTCAAATCTTTGACTTGATTCTTGCAATCCTCTGGTCTGCTGTTGGGAGTCTGTATACTTTATTTCAGTCGGTGTATGCTTAATTTCTAGTTGGTTCTTTATCACAACATCGAGGGTCTCATTAAGTTTATCGGCGGCTTCTAGACAGTTCTTGAGAGACCTTAAAAGTGTGGTTCTGAACTCTATATCTTCCATTGACAATTTTGTCCTGTTTCTTTGTCTCCGCATTTTGTTATGCTTTCTTGGTGCACCCCCTAGTGGTCTTTGTGAGCAGTCTTGTAGTTAAGCCTTGATTGTTGTAGCTAATACTAGGGGGGATTTGACCTCCAGGCCAAGTGGCTGTGAGAGTCAGCTGTGTCTGCAGTGAGAGAACTTCTGTCCTCTAGGGAGGTGCTAATCTGGCGTTTGCCTGAGGCTATCCGGCAAATGCCTCTGTGCAGGGCTTGGGCGGGGCGGGTCGCATGGGATCAAACAGGGTGGGCCGGAGAGAGCCGTTATGGCTGCTCTCAGTCCTGTCCCCAGGGGCTCTGCCTCTCTG